CTGAAAGCTTTAAATGAAAAGAGTGAGTCTCCATTTCTGAGGTTTGTGTATCTCGCACACTAATAAGAGTTTGGTGGCCGTTACCTAATCATTTATTTTTCACAAAACCAGCTGCCCAGCCCGGCTGCGTCTTGTGATTCTGCTCGAGTCTTGACGAGCTGCAGCAGCACCATTACACCCGACGGAACACTTGGCTTTGGCTGATTGGCAGAGAAGGGGTAGCAAATGAAACCCACTTTCACATGAAAGACAAATAATAAGAGCAGAAGAGAYGAGCGTATCTTAATCAAATATGCAAATCGAGGCATTTCGCCATTTGCATGAAGCATTTGTGGGTCCCTCATGCAGGCGGTAGCGCAGAGGCCAGGTGGATCTGCTGGGGTTTGCCCTAAGCCATCGATGGTGCTGGGCAAGCAGTGCACYGAGCTCATGGTGACCGTGATGTCTCACCGGGGTCGTGCACCACGCAAAGCATGGCATGYTTTGCAGTTGAAAGCTAATGCAGGCTCTCCTGGTCTCTCTCAGTGTCTCTCCTTCATTGTTACCGTCCATCGGGGGTCTTTTTGCTTCAATAGTCCTTGCACAGCGTGGCCGTGTACTGACCTTTGCTTATCTGGCAGAATTATAATGGCAGTTGGAGACAGTGATAATAAACTTGTCTTAAAATGCTGGAAATGATTTGAACTTCACTGAGATTSGTTTGGGACGGGTAACAAGACCTGCTCTGTGCCTCCAACTGATGCAAGGCAACCAGATTCTCCTCAGTGTTGGTGCAAAGTTCTTCTCAAACTTTCTGGTCATAATCCAGACKGTCTCCAAAGAGTGTTAGGGGTTACCTGCATTATAGCGGTGTCTAGAGATGTAAGGGAAGACCAAGGCTCGTTGTGCTATMCCTTGCACAAATTCAGGAGCTGGACCCAAGAGTGAAGGGAGGCTCTTGAGTTTCTGTAGCTGAACCCATGAACTGCTCTCTGGCCACTCAAATATTTAAACTATCAGGTGGGATCAGGTAGGACCATGGGCCTGTTGGAATGAGTTGGCTGCCCATGGATGTGTGGACCCATTGCTTTGTTTCCCCTCATAGTCAGCTCGCACTGGGTGCTGCTGTTGYCCATCCAGGCTTCCCGTGGGGATGCGCTGGCACCAAGGAGCTTGGCCAGCAGGGACCTGGTCATTTTCAGAGGTCCCAGTGCAAACACCGTGGCAAATACGAGGTCAAAGAAGAGACATCTTGTAAATGGGCTGAGCTTTTTTGAAATAGTGGCTTTGAACGTCGGGATATAAATTCAGTGTCAGTGCTGCCTGACGTGCATTCATCTTTGTTTTACCTGGACCTTTCTCCCTGCCCCAGAAATCTTGCAATATAAGTAAGTAAGATAAAGAATGTGTAGGAGATATATTATTATGCCATTTTATAGGAAGGAAATTGAAGCATAAAAGCATTAAATTATTTATCCGGGCTCCCTCTGGAAGTCTGCGCAAGAGCCAGGTTTGCTGTAACCTGGCTTTCTTTGAACTCGTTCTCAAAATAAAAGGTTGGGATTCCAGTTCTATTGCAATCAATAGGAGTTGCCTTTTATTTCTGTGGATGCTATCATTTCACCTAAGTGCTTAGCAGGGGCTCCAGCCAGTGTAAGTGTTCTTCCATTTAGAAAGGTTTTTCTTCTGCTTTTCAGACCTCAAACAAGTGGAGGGCATGTTTGGACACACACAACCGGGTAGATATTGCAACAAAAGCCTGTTTTCTAAAGGAATTTACCCTCTGGGCTGCAGCCTGTTTCTTCATTGATGACATCTTATTATTTTGATGGTGGTGTTTGCACCCCGTATTGGCCTTCAAATACATTATTGATGCCAAAGAATTCTTCGCAAGTTTTACTTCTTCTCTGTTTTTCTCCCCAATCTAGATGGTCACCACAGACCTGTTCCTCCCTCCATCTGTGGTCTCGTGGCTTTGCTGCCCAAGGGCAGCTGCTCGTTCTGGGCAAGAGACCATTCCATGTGTTTCCCTCTGAGTCTAGGAGCAGGACTGAGGGCCCATTAATTCCTCAAATGCTTCAATCCTTCCTGTGATGTATGATGAATATTTTTGAAAATCTGTCAGTGGAAATGGAATAAATGGAAATCCCGGGTACTGAAAATACTTCCGAAAGTCTCCTTGATAATTAAGATCCTGCACAGGAACTGAGCTGTGTCTGCAGCTGCCACTGTTTAACACTTCTGTGGTCAAGCATTTACTTGTGGAGAACACAACCCTCCTCCCCTTCACTTGCATCTTGTTCCCAGCTCTCTAGAGCTTCCTTTGCAAAGAGGTAGTTTCCCTCTCCCCAAAAAAGGCTTCACTTCTATTTTGGTTTAATTTTTCCTTCTGCCACAGGTGTGCTGAATGACTCCGATCAGGCCAGTGATTCATTAATGAATTCCATGCCTAAACCTGTCCCTTAACCTTTCTCACTAAAAATATCCTGCGTAGCAAATAGTCACCTTGCTTTACCCCTCCTGTGAAGCTGAGTCATCGCTGGAAGTCCAAGACAACTGCTGCATGAAGGGTGCAAAACTTGGTCTTCCTGGGGAAGCCGGGCTGGGAAGGCAGGTGAGGACATTTTTGCAAGGAAGATGCTCAGCAGCTGAGGTTAGTGAATCCATCTCTGGCAGACAACGGGGTGAATATGCACAGAATGCACAGAATATGCACAGAATAATCCAGTGAAACTCATGAAACCCAGAAGATGCTTTGACAGTGTAATCCAAAGCCTGTATCCAACACCAATGCTCCTGGATAGCACTGGAGGCCTCCAGGGAAGTTGTGCCAAACATCTCCCATGTCTTCTGACTGTGCCTGGTGCAGGGAAGCAGCATTTCAGCATGTGAATAGTTTCCCTGCTGGCAGCCGTTTGGGAGCTGCGTCCTCCATACGGCGTGGCACCAGGTTTAATGAAGCATCGTTAAGGCTCTTAACTACAGAGAAAAGGGGAAGGAGGATCAGAGACATAATCAAAGCCTGCGCTCTGTTATCAATAACTGCAAGTGGCTCCGTAAATGTTCTACGTTCAGATGCTTTCGGTGCAGATCGGTGCAGGACCAGCTGTTTAAAAGAAGAGTGAAGTGTAGGAACAAGAACGTTTTAATCATTGCATCTCATTAGGGAGAATGAATCACTGAGAAAACRCTGTAAAAGGGCAGCTTTCATAAAGGAAATGGCTAGTCTGGCACAGAGCTTGAGGCGGAGGAAGCATAAATCGGAATTAAGAGGCGTGGGTTAGGATGGCTGTTTATTTTTAGTATCGCGCCACACAGGAGAGAAGGGAGCGGAGGCTGAGGTGAGGTTGGCTGGAAGATGATGATGCTGAATTTGGTAGGTAAGAAAACACCAAATTCCACGAAGGGTTTGAAGGCAGCAATGACAGGATTGCCCTGCGTTGCTGCAGTGAGGCAGCTCCAGCACGTCCAGCCAGGCTCTGAATCCAGACTCTTGGATTGGTGCATGGGGAGAGACAGCTGGAAAAGCAGGCAAGCTTTGCTGGGAGTGCCCAGGACTCTCTGGGAACATCAAACACGATCCTGGCCAGGGCTCTGGGTCTGTGCTGCAGACTGCACATATCTCTGTGATGGTGCAGCCCGAGCCTTGTGCCCACCTCGCTCCTTGGGGTGACGCCCCGGCTCGCTGGCGAGGGAATCCCGCCAGGACAAGCACAGGTCCYGTCTGTGCTTGTGCTGAGGAGGAGGGTAAAATCAAGCCTGCAGATRGGCTAAAGGAGCTTTAAAAGACAGGATGGGTGGCTTTTCTCTTAGGTTACGTAGTGGAGATGCTAATCCCAAGCTTGTATRTCTACAATATTTCTTTTAAAAAAATGAGTAGGAATAACAGGTTTTATCTCCTTTATCTCCGGGAGTCGCGTCTCTTTGGGAGCACGTGTCGTAGCTCGTGTTTTGGGGGGAAGTCTGGGGTCCTGGACCAGCCTTTGGGCATAGCAGGAGGATGTCCTCACAGGTTTCCAGAGTGTATTTAAGCATCATAAACACAGGAGAACTTGCCATTCTGCTCTCCATCCCCTTTCTTCTTTCCATCCCTCCTAGAGAAYGAGGCAGGTAGTTACAGAAAACTGACTTGGGTAAGAAACGTGGTTTAATATCCTGTTTTAATGGGATGTAAAGCGTCCTACAACATCTCTGCTATTTAAAAAATAGAATTTAAGCAAAAAAGATTTAAACCTTAATGCCAATTTTCACTAGATTAATATTTGACAGAGGGGATCAGGAGAGCTGATKAAATGCTTTGCACAGAGAATATCGAGAATTAAAGCACATTACAATATCTGTAGGTATAGTGGGATGCAATGAAAGGGGAAGCTGGAGGGAGAAAATAAAAATACTTTAATTAAGTCTGTGCATGCTGCAGCTTGGTGAAAGCAAGGTGTAACTGATGTGTGGCAATTCCCATTCACAGTGAGGCGGGAACAGGGGAAATACAGCGTGCGCAACAAGCGGCGGCCGACTGTTGCTTTGCAAGTTGCAAGGGGTTGTTGTGCTGCCGTTTGAGGTGGAGTTACAGGTTCCTTCTCTTGCCATAGTCCCCTTGTGTCTGAGCAGCCTCACTTTTGCATTTCATACTGGTCCCTGTATAAGACTTAGCCCATCACGCCCCTGTATTCCAGAACTAGTCAAATCACCCAACAGTTCCCAGCAATGCCGATTTAATGCGTGCGTCGCAGTTGCTCGCTCTATGAGATGCCTCATTGAGGGTCCCGGTGTGTCAGTTAATGCTGGGTGTTGTACAAACACAACAATATCATCTAGGAGCAAAACTGGGATTGGGATTTAATATCAGAGTTTCCGTTCCCGAGACCTGACATTGAAGGGCAGGTTTGGGATTTTGAATCGCAGCCCGGCTCGGGCTGGAGGATGGGAGGCTGCCCCAGGGCTGGGTCTTTCCATGGGTTGTTGGGGCTGTGCTGGGACCGAGCTGTTCCCAGGGACTCACGCCTTTCCTTTTCTCCCAGTGCAAGTTCCGGGCCCGGTGGAAAACCTGCGGGCTGTGTCCACGTCACCTACCTCGATCCTTGTCTCCTGGGACCCCCCTGCCTACGCAAACGGCCCCGTTCAGGGCTACCGGCTCTTCTGCACCGAGACTGCCACTGGAAAGGAGCAGGTGAGCGGGGACCCGCGTGGAAACGGGGCGGGTTCCTCCGGACTGCAAGTGCTAATAGTTGAACTTCCTTTGGATGCTGCTYATTTCATTGTGGTCCTAATTCTGTGAGAAGAATAGGTTTTGGGGGAKAAAATGGGAGAAAGCTCCCATGCTTCCTACACCTGGGAGCAGTTCAGGCTGTTTGCATGGACCACTRTCAGTTTTATTACTTTTATAAAAAGGTGATTTTCTAGGAATGCTGCAGTAGTTGCATGGACTACCCTGTGGGTGGAATGAGGTTTGTAATTACACGACCCAGCTGTGTAATAACCGCAGGCATCGGCAGCGCTGTGGCGGATGGTTCCATGCTCTTATGGGAAGTTTTGTGCTGCCTTCAGTTTTCTCTTTTCTTGCTTCATTTGACTGTCCTCTTCTCCCCAGAAGTTCCCTTTGAACTTTGTTTTCACCTTTATTTTCACCTTTGCCTTTATTTTCACCTTTCTTCTGTCTTCCTTCATTTTCCTGTCATGGACCAGTGGAGTGGGAGCAATTGGTTTAGCCAGAATAAGTTTTCTCCTGTGCCTGCAATAGTGCCTTGAGTAACCCAACAAAACTTTGAAGCACCGAAATCCAGGGTATCCCRAACCCTGTGCAAAGTTCCAGAGACACATACAGAGAACTGAGCTCTAACAGGCAAATCTGTTACAAATTACCCTTTATATCAACCTAAATAAGGATTTAGCTCTTCTTCTTAAAGAGTGAAAAGCTGCTCTCTAATCCGCTCATGCCTGGGCACCACTGTYGCTCTCGCTCGAACGTTGCCGCGTTGTAACCGCTGCTCGTTTCCGTGTGCTCAGACCGTGGAGGTGGACGGGCTCTCCTACAGGCTCGAAGGGCTGAAGAAGTTCACGGAATACGCGCTGCGCTTCCTGGCCTACAACCGCTACGGCCCCGGCGTCTCCACCGAGGAGCTCGTGGTCACCACCMTTTCCGACGGTGAGTCCAGCCCAGGAAAACTGGGAGATTCAGGAGCTCCCTGTCCAGTGGGACCTGCTGAGCTAGCCATCATCTCCAGTTATCATTGTCCCTATATCAAATTGTCAGATAGTGTGTTGTAGCCTTTATTTTCTCCTGAGCTTGGGCACAGGTTTGAGGCTTTCAACAGCAAATATTGTCTGTTCTATTTGCATTTGAAAAAAAAAAAAAAAAAAAAAAAGCCCAGATTTTTCTTGTAGCTCAAACAGCAGGCTGCAAAATGTGCCTGTGTTTCAATTTCTGCTCGGTCACAATGGTTGCACTGTCATTCCTCCAGAGCCTGCACTCTGCTTCGTGCGCCTTGCATGCTCCGAGTGATAAATTGAATTTTATTGTAAATTCGGAAGCACTTAGTTGTGTCTAATATCAAAACCTTCTACGTGCCTGACTCCTGTTGAAGGCAGTGGGTCTGATCGCCATGGCTGGCTAAAACAGGCGTGACATTATTGAAGGAATTTGGTCTACAAAAGTGTCAGAAACATCTAAATGGGAGGCAAATTCTCCCTGTAGTGTTTGTGCATGCAGAGCCCAGGATGTCTCACAGTCACACCGTGCTGATTTCTCTGAATACAGTTTTTGCTGCCAGACAGTTCTCACTGCTTGCAGGAGAAAGCAGAGTTCTACCAGGTGAAAGGGAAAACCTGATGCTTTCTGGGGGGATGAAGATTAACTGGAGTGATGAGAGTTTATAAACTAGCAGGCAGATCCCAAGGGAGCTTGATGTAATTACCTCCAAAATCATCAGTGACATGCCAGTTGTGAGATAGCGGAGACCTATAATTGGAGGAAATAGAAAGCTCTAAAAGGGAAGGTTAAGAGATTTTTATCGGTGGCAGCATTTTGTTTAAAGACCTTATAAGAAGTGTCAAGGTAAGCTTTGAAAGTAAGATTTGCAGACAGCTAATTTTCATAGAATATGAAGATACRGGTGTTCGGCTTGCCCTGTCCTGTGTTTGGATCATGACCTTAGGTCTCTTCCATGCCAGAAAATGTTTGGGTTTTTTCACCCTTGCCTATACAATCTGGGAATAGTCAGGGAGTGTGGTGTTGTGGCTTCAGCTGCCTCTGCCAAGCCAGCGAGGTGTTTCTGCAGCCAGCAGTGTGAGCTGAGCTAAGCACCGTGTCCGTGAGCACGGCTCAGCACGGTGCTGCATCGCTGGTGCTCTCCCAACCAACTGAAATCACTGCACGAGGTTATTAAGAATGGCAGTTGTGTGTCTGATGATACGTCTGCCTGGTGATCCAGTGCCTCCCAACGCTACTGGAAAAATCCACATGAGCGTCAGGATAGCATTAGTGGAGGCCCTAAAGATCCTGGAGCAGAGGAAGAGACAAGGGAGACATTGCAAAGCTCTCCCGTTGGCTTCGGCAGCAGCCAAGAGCACGTTGGTGGTCATCTCTGGTGACAACCATGGAAATCATGTCCTGCCTCAGTRCCACCTGCTCCCTGCAGCCCACAGTGTGACCAGGAGAGGAGCAGAAACGAGGAAAACATGTTCTGAAAGCGGGGTTTTAGATGCAGCAATGGCTCCATCCAGGTGTTCTGGATCCAAGCATCAGGTCTGGCATGGAAGAGCCGAAGGAGCAAGCGGGAACCTGGGTRCCTGGGGCCAGGAAGGAGCAGACAGGGAGTACCTGGGTCTGTCGTGCTGTTTTAGTCCCTTCTTCAGAGTCATCTGCGATCCCCACAGCTCGTTTGGCACCATTATTGTGCATTTGACACCTCTGCAATATTTTTTCAAGTGCTACTTATGTCTACCCATCTAATTCAGTTTTCCGTTGTAATACAGGCTGGGTCTTGGCAGAATAAATTACTTCACACTTATAATTATAAAAACAAAAGGAAAACAAGTGAAAATGAATATTTTGCATAATGTATGTAGATTTAATTCACACTGTGAAGTGTAGAACGGTGGCCCTGTACTCCACTTTGGTTTTAAATGTCATCATAAGTGAGGAAGGGAGAGATTGTTATTCATAAGCCTGAAAATTATCCTCAGCCAGCATTTCAGAACGCTTCACCTGTCTGGGAACAAAAATCATCACTAAAGAGGAGGCTTTTGTGAGACTGTTCCAGAAAACAGGAGCAGAATGTGGTGCATAGGTGCGTCTGGAAGGAGCCAGGGTTTATTTTGTTTTCTGTTTAAGCTGCAGTCTGTTTTGCAGGCTCCTGGACTGTGACCCATCTACCACCTTCACTTAGGAGTTGGCAAGTCTCCTCCGTTAGGATCCAGGGCTGGAAAAAAAGGACAAAAACTGGGTTTCCCAGGTGCTACCAGTGGCTTTCACCTCTGGATGAAACTATGTTTTGCTTTTCACACCTGGCTCTGCTTAGTGTTTGCTCTGCACCGTCTTTGGTGTTTGGAACAAAAGTGAAGGTCARAAAAGGTAGAAGAGCCTTGAAGATTGGTCAGTCTGAATTTCCTTTCTGTTTTAAACGTGACAGGACTGTTTTAAACTCTCCCTCTTCAGAGTGTGTCTGTGCTGGAGTGGGTTATTTCTCTCTCCAGTCCCGCTCGTTTGCCTTGGAGTGTGTGGCATGGTGTGTAGTTTCACAGAAAAGCCTATATTGTTTTTTTCCCCGCAGGTCTGTAGGCAGAAATTGTCTGCAAAGCTCTAGGATCTAATATATAGTCTAAGAAACATGGCCCAATCAAAGGGATTTAGTGTGGCTCTTCTATTGCAGGGACTGCAGAACCACGCACTTGCTCCATTTGCCAGATCTAGGAAAATACTATGTCTTTAATGTTTCGTTTCTGGTTTAAAAGCACAGCTCAGTTAGTATTTGGCCGAGCTGCATGCCATTTCAGAAGTGCTTTGAGCTATCGTGCTTATGAATTTATCAAAATGCATTTAATCGCAGCAATTGGCAGACAGTCTTATTTCATGCTTCCTGACTACTTGATTTAAACATAATTTAGATCCGTAATTATAATATGAATGCAGGTTTTTAGTGAAAATTACGGCTTGGAGTTGGCTAGACACGGGAGACGGCGTGTGCAGGTTCTCGGCCCCCGGTCGCTGCTCGCGGGCGCGTGCGCGGGGAGAGCGGCCGCGCGGAGCGGGCGCAGCGGGACCTGTCATGGAACCACAGAGCCCTCAAGGTTGGAAGGGACCCCTAGAGCTCATCCATTCCAACCCCTGCTCCAGGAGGGACACCCAGGGACACCTCCCTTGAGGTGTTTATAGACACTTATAGACACTTCTCCTCTCCAGGCTGACCAGGCCCAGCTCCCTCAGCCTGTGCTCACAGGGCAGATGTTCCAGGTCCCTGATCATCCTYGGAGCCTGCGCTGGGCTCTCTCCAGCACCTCCACCCCTGCGCCTCCGAGCTTGGAATCTCCTGGATAAATCCTCCTACCTCGGCCTGGCAGGCAAACCTCTCCTGTACAGTGAATTCCTCACAAATTATATTGTCCATCTTTATCTTTTTGGAACATGTACAGGTTTATATCCACCCACCYCTGCACCGAGGTGAGAATTTGTAGGAATTTTTGGATGAATCAACATTTTGGACATTTCGGGGTTGGACTGGATGGTATCTAGAGGTCCCTTCCAGCCTTAACCAGTCTGTGATTCTGGGATTTTTAGGGGGAACCAGGGTGTTTGCGGTGCTGGAAACAACCAGGGAGCTGCTCCCCATCCCGTCTCAGCTCGGCCATCAGGGCAGAAGCACCAACCCCCTGGAGCCATCCCAAACGCAACCGTGGCTTTTTTAATATATCCAGAAAGAAGAAAATGCCATTTTGGCCCTATTGCTGAATGGGGCTGTCCATGTTCATGACACTCGTGTGACTGATGCCAGGTAAAGCCAACCTACACCAACTTCCAATGGGCTAATTAAGCCATGACTAATGAACAAAAAGCAATTTTTTCCCAGTGCATCCAATTTCTTCACTTGCTCAAGGCATAAAACTGGAGGAAGTAATTGTAACCTCGTAAACGCCTAGTCCGATAGAGGAATACTCGGCTTGTTGGGTAACTTGAAATATTAAATCAGAATCTCCTGGTAGTACAAAACGTCCCCTCGATTGGAGAAGGAACAAGAAATGAAGATGGACAATGTTGCTGTAACAGTGACTCTGAAGGTGATGCTGGATCTTGTCTGGGTTTGTTTCCTGTGCGATTGAAGATCTGGAAGAAGAGATGAAAATTTCATGGGTTGCGTTATAGATGAAGTGGAATTGTGAAGTGTGACAAAGAGTGACCAAGGAGAAATAATCAAAATAATAGAAAGTCAGAAAAGAAAAAATGGAGAAAAATGTGTCTGTTAAGGGAATAATATGAAATACTGGCAATTAGTATCAATTGTATGTAGAAGTAATGACAAGGGAAGTTGGCAGTGACTACGATTATTATAACAGAGGCTTTGCAGTTTAATTCTCTGGACAAAACCAGGACAGCCTGTTTTGCCTGTGGCGTGGAAACGTGTCATGACTCGGAGGACACAAACCGGAGAAATCCGATGGGATTTGTCCCATTGGGACATATGAGATCGGTGACGTCTCCTTGGTATTGCGGGGCATTGGGGAGATGGAGCATCATTAGCGCATGAGCAAAGTGCCACATCAGCTTTCCGCTGCGCCGAGCGGTGYGGAAGCGAACAAGGAGCAATTCCTCAATGGAAGAAGCCAAATAGCTCCTACAGCCTCTAATCCGGAGAGACAGGCGGGAGCTAAAGGGTGACTTGCCCGGGGCACCTGGCAGGTCATGGGGGAGCTGAGCCGGTCCCGACGCGCCCCGGCTGCTCCCGTGGGAAAGCAGTCCGGGATGGCGAAGAGCCAGGCCATCGAGGCAGTTATGAATACTCCTGGAGAACATATCTGCACATCACACTGCGGCAGAATGAGCAGCAAGGTCCCGAGCGTCGAGCTGGCGTTTCGAGGGATTCGCCGCGGATCCGGATAATTGCTGGCCCGGTGGCTCTCCCGAAGGTGAATCTCCGTGGTTCGGGGCCTCCGGGCGGAGGAAGAGTYTCAGTATTCCTGAGCAAGCCCTGCCCTGTGCCGCTGCCTCCAAGCAAGGAGTTTGCAGATTGCAGCGATTCAAGCACATCATTTTTTTTCTCTATGGTTCACAGAGCCTTCGTGAAGGACAACGGTATTAATGTGGCTCATGCCTGACAGCGGGGCCTGCCTGCTTAGCTGGCTGCTGTTACTACTGCTGTGTTGTCACCTGTATTTAAAATATGATTTTCATATTTGCTCTGACAGATGACTTAAATCGGGCTGACTTAAATCCTTAAATACTGGCATGCATCAAGGACGCTACAAAATGCTGGGCTTTAGGGATTTGTTTATTGAAAATAAACGTGAGCCGCAATTGCATGACCAGGGTGGCAAAAATAACCAACAGGAGGATCCCGTAGAGCCACTGCAGTGATTCCTTGGATTGACATATTGCACATGGGTGCATTCCATGTGTTTGTGTTATTTATGGATGTGCAGATAGATGTTGGGCTGGACGGAGCCTGCACCTTGCAGAGGGTCTAGGCACCCTCGGTTTGCAAAAATACTCCCCTGTAGACTCCTCTTTGGGGAGGAATGAGCTTTTCAGTGTTGAGCAGCCTGGGTTAGCAGGCAGGCTTCAGTTCTCCAGAAGGAAAAGAAAGCCTTAGGTCCAGGAGCTGAGGCATCAGGAGCTCAGAACTTCCTTGCAAAGCTCCTGGCTCCTCAGCTGCTGAATTAGTATTTCCCATCCGCTGGGGGAATATACGTTCGACCATTTSTTGCTCAAGCTTATTGGAAGCAGAATGCTGTGGAAAACAGGGAGAGATGTTGCCTGTAAATAATTAGCTATTAGTRATTAGCCTCCCAACCATAGATAGTCCAAGCACTTGCTGGTGTCTGGTGTGTGTCTCGTGTCCCCCGCAGCACCTTGGCCAGCCTGGGTCCTGGTGGATGGAGGTGAAGGGGGGTTCAGAGCTGCAGAGGACTGGGAAGTTAAAGGTGGATGAAAAAGGATTTGACTCAAAAGGGTTTGTTTTAATTAAGGCTGTGGATGTGAGACTGTCTCATTAATGCCTYGTGGAAAATCTTTGTAAGACCATGAGTTGAAGGTCTAAACATTAAAAATTGAAGTATATTTATTAGGGTAGATATGACAAAGTTTAAGTTTATAATGCAAGAGGGAGTTGTAGAACATACAARTAAAGAGTCTTGATGTAAAATACCATTTTTTTCACGGTAGCTAAACAGAGAATTTTATTTCTTCTCCTCCTTTAGGCACCACTGCAAAAAAGAGGTGYGCTGGTGCCAACAAGGGGAGGATGCCCTGGCCCGCTTGTGTAAACGGGCTCTGAAATACATTGATTTGAATACGTAAAAAACAGGAATTGCCACATGTTCTTGTCATTTCCGAGCAAGTTTATCACAAATAACAGAATTGGAGTGTTTGGTCTCGCAGCAGGGGGGCTGCTGCGTGGCTCGGCGAAGGGCTCCCTAATGGGTCTATCGGAGGCGAGCAGATGCGCCGGGCTCTRTCTCCCGGGGGGCCCTCTGAAGTGCCACCTGCAGCCCCCGCGCGGCTGCGATGGGATTATCAACGAGGTGCCAAAGCTGCGCTCCTTTCTTCGCAACGAGCGGACGGTTGGGTGCAAGCTGCYGTGGGTCGAGGCGCTAACGGGGTGTTTCCCTCCTCTCTTGTGCTTGCTGCCCTTGCAGTGCCCAGCGCGCCGCCGCAGAACGTCTCCTTGGAAGTGGTTAACTCGCGGGTAAGTCTGCTGCGCCCTGCCCGGTTCTCCTGCCTTTTTTAATGTCTGGAAGTGGTTTTTTACAGGTGCAAGTGCTCTTGCTTTGCCAGCAGAAGSTGAGACACCAGAGAGGTAGCTGGGCATAAATATTAAACCCCTCAGCACTGAAGGGCACTTAAGACCTGCACTGTTATCTTGGCTGAATTGGAGCTAGGTTAATTAGCGCCATCAGAGAATATGGCCCACCTGGTGAAACGGTGCCTATCACAAGGTTATCTGTTTTCACTAATTCCTCCTGTTCATGTAAGGCACTTGGGCTCTCCGGAGAGTGGGCACACTTGCTATAAGTAAATATACGTATATGCATATATCTCAATAGGTTGTGCTGTGGTGTTTYGCTGTGCAAAGCTTTTGCATGCAACATACTCTAAGCAGCCTCTCGGCCTTTCAGCATCGTGTTAGAATGAGAACCATGGTGAAAGGAGAGTGTTGCGAGGAGAAGTTGTGATTTCCCCGTGAGGCTGCAGCAGCACTAGCATCGCTTCAGCTTAGGTGATCAAGCAGAAATGGTTCCCCAGTTGCAGATTGACATCTGCAATAAACCTAAATGCTATTTGCTTAACTGGAGCGATCTCCTGGTGTAGCGAGAAGCTGTTGTGGGGTGACCAGGGATGCGGGAGAGAAATATGTTATTGGTAGATTATATTCATCACCCGCCGGGAGATCTGCTGTCATTCCAAAGGAGATATTTCTGCTTTCTTCTAAAAGCTATAGTCATTTAACTTCATTTAACTTAAATGCAGTGTACTTACATTCTTMAAAAAAAAATCTTTCCATGCCATTGAGGAAGTAGGTTGATATTATTTCCTAAGATTATATTGGTATACCCTATAATAGGTTTTAGTTGTGCTTCCTATTTTCCAAGTCCTATTTCCTGATATGTTATGAAATATATTTGAGTTTGTTCCTTTTCTTTTTATTCATATTTTGCATTTATTGAAACTATGTTGGCTGTTATATCCTGTAGCTTCTTTCAATACTGGGCCCATTTAGATGTGGAGGAGAAGCACATGAAAAAACACAAGTTTTGTCTTACCAGGATCCCTCAAAACAAAACAGTCCCCATGGACTTGCTCCTGAGTCTCCCGGGCACAGTTAGCCACGACCAGGAGTCCAAAGCTGATTTCCAGGAACACTGAGTACCTGTCAGGCTCATCTCGCTCCTCCACTTCTTCCTTTCATGAAATCAAATGTCTGTTCTGAACATTGCTTCCTTTTTTTCTTTTTTTGAAAACACCCAGGCACAGTTACTTTTCAATTCCTCTTACATGCCGTACCCAAAGGGCATTGATGTCTTGGAACATCTTGTTCCAAACCTCCGTGTTTACTTTTTTTGTGCTTGTTCTCAAGGGAAAATGTCACGGGGAGTTGATCATGTTTCATGACCTTCCRCAATGATCATTCAAATTGAAAGCGTTTAGAACAAAACCAGGAAAATAACTGTGGGCAGGGGATGGAGCATGAATACAGCGCTCCTAAGACATATTATTGTATTAATTCTTTCTTATGGGGACTTAAAGTTAGAGGCATGTTGCACAGGTGCTGTTTCTTGCTGTGGGATAGGTCAGGTCGGGATGGGACCAAGTGCAATCCCTGTCTGCCATAGTCATCCTAATCATTGGCTGTCATTGCGTTCCCAGTCACCGAGCTCTATGTTGGGTGTCTCAGGCGGGGCTTAACTTGCAGGTGTGAGTGCAGTACTGGGCAGGGATGGGTTTAAGGGTGTTTTTCTCAGTGCATTTGGTGACAGGGACCACGCGCTGGCTCCTTCTCGTGGTGAACACGTGTCCGTTCTGGAGGTGTGCGGTCGTGCTGGTGCTTGTGCCATACCAAAACCACCACGTGTCTGCGGCCTCTGTTTGTCTCCATCGCCCTCTTCCTCGCCCCCTTCTAACTTGGCAGCAGTCACTGAGAGCTAATTCAATTAAAGCCATGCAATTCGCAGGCTGATTAAATCAAAACAAGCAGCTAAATAAGCGTCGCCGCTCACTAACTGGATTTCGGTGGCGCACAAAGGAGCCGGCCCCGCTTCCAGACTTGTTTAAAATTTTATCTCTAGTTTAATAAGATTTCTGCCTTTGTGCTATTCTTCTTCCGCGCTGACAGACCTATTAATTTAATAACATGACGGAGATGGCCAAGAAATGGGAGATGTTTGATATGAATTGCTATTATCGTGATTATTGCTCAATATTGATGGAGGGACCAGAGCCCTCAGCTGGATCAGAATTGCTCGTAGTGGGGACGTAAATAGAGCTCCCTGCCCCAGAACTTCCTGCGTGCTTTGGAGTTATTCCGGATTTTCTTCTCGCACGAGTTAATCACGTCCAGGCTCTCGTTCGGAGGAGGAGAGCGGCGGCGGGGATAGCCTGTCTCCATGTGCACATACATATGTATGCGCTTCCGTGCACTTGAAATTCCGTGCATGAATCAAATCCAACACCAAAAGTAACCCTTTCTGTCCTTGCTTTTTAGCGAAATGCAGCGATACGTGAATTGCTTCTAAAGGGAAATAAGAAATACGTTCCTGAATTATTTTTCTGTTCCAAAATGCTCCTTTGCTCGAGAAACAGGGTGTATACGATATTTAATAGATGAACAGTGTTTCATCAAAGAACTGTCTGCTTCAGTTCTCCCACTAGCAGAACCACCAGTATTTACATATTTGTTTGCTTCYTTTCTTCTTTTAAATATTGATGGCTTTTTACTTTCTGTGCTTTTTAATGTTTGATACATGTTAATGTTTAGCAGATTTGAAGTGTATAAATAGCTGTCAGGTCTACTCATTTAAAAATCTGTTATTTTATTTCTTCTTCCCATTTTAAAATGCACAGGAAACAAGAAGTAATATCCTTTGATCATATTGAGTGGTGATCTAATCGATGGATTGATAAATGCTTCCACTCAAAAGAATGGGCATTGATTCCGGATTCATGTTTCCCRTTCTGTAGCTGGGGATCTGAGAACAAAACCTGTAAAATTCTCCTGGGCCAAGTTAAGAGCGAGGCAAGGAATCTGTTTTCTTCCTATCTTTTCTTGTGCGTGTGTGAAAATGCACACCATACATATGAAGAAACTTGGTGATCGTGTTCCCTCGTGCTCGCGGAATCATTCCGCAAAGCAAAATTCCTAGCGTTTATTATATTTTAAAGGGGCTATAAATAAACCACAGGAAGAAGTTTACATTTAAAAAAGTATTACAGGCTTTTGCTTCAAACTTAGCATAGGATAAAATGGCTTAAGCTAGGAATAGCTGGGGATGGTCCCGTCGAATGCCAGTTTGCAGGGCTTGACCGCGTGCAGCGCTTCTTTCCTTGCACGGTGAGTAATTGGGAGGTTTCACATTCACGAGCAGAACCCTCCCCTGCCTCTTGCCTCTCGGGGTCGGGTACTGGTGGCGGGTGTTTGTGGTGCTCCGGGTGCGCGGGCAGTGCGTGGCACTGCGGGAGGGCGAGCTCGCCGAGTGGCGCCGGAGCAGCCTGCTGCGTTCCACACCACCGGGCACCCGGAGAGGCGGCTGCTGGACACGCTCCGTGTTCCTGGGCACCCGGAGAGGCGGCTGCTGGACACGCTCCCTGTTCCTGGGCACCCCGGGAGCTCCCCTTCGCCCTCAGCCCTGCAGGGACAGGCTCTGGTCACTGTCCGCTCCCCTTCTCACTGCGTTCAGACACACGGCGCGCAGTGAGGAGCAGCACCCAAGGCCGTGGGTGCTGCGGAGTATCTTGAGAGCATGGGATGCTCCTGCACGAGGTGCACGGGATCCACCGTGCTGAGCCTCGGTCCATCCCCTGCCTGCAGCACCTTCTGCACGGGCCTGCGAGGATAAAGAGCTGCTGGTCTGCAGTAGAGTCTACCACTTATCCAGGGCTCTGCAAATTAATCCACCGCTGTGTGCCTAGCAGCAGCCAYGAGAAGGGCGTCCCCATCTCCAAGCTGTCCTTGGAAACACGGAGGAGCAGGAATACTGCCGGCACGGCTTGGGGGCCAGGCTGGCGACGGCTTCGCGCTGGAGGTGAGCGATGCCCTGCGGTGCCGCTAAAGGATCAAATTCTGTCACGACCCATTTCACTCAGCGACTTAAAATGTCCACGCAACTAAATGTGCTTTAAAACGTGTCGGGAATGCATCCCTGGAATCCCGGGAAGTGCCGTTGGGCTGGGAGTCACTCCCTGGCTCGCTCGGCTTGGAGCTGGGGATGGATTGGGGCCTCCACGGTGCAGTGACGAGGAGAAAAGCCCTGTGAGGCTGCAGAGATGCTGGGAGGAGGCCGCCGGGTGAGTGGCCTCTGTTTTATCCACAGTCGGTGTGCGGGAATGCCGAGTGGGAATGCTGAGCGGGAATGCCATGGGGCTGAAGGTCCCTGGGTCGTGTGAGTGCCCAAGGGGAGCCCTAGGCTCAGAAGCAACATAGGATGGAAGAAAAGCAGCACTTTCTCACGTCTTGCAAAACAAAGCAGCACGGGATAAAGCAGCGCTAAAAACACGCTGGACACTCCAAAAACGTGTCTGAGATGGGAAAATAAACGTTAATGGGATCTAGAAGCATCTCGCAGGTGAACCGAACGGGTAGTTTAAAAGAGCGCACAAAAATAAAGTCAGCATGAGTTGTCACCACTATTTAGAGAAGTGTCCTCTAGAAACAATGTATATAACCTTTACTGTATTACTTATGGAGACGGCCCCAGAGAAAGAGATCTTTAACCTTTAAATCTATTACTTACAGGGAAGCAGAGAAACAAGCATGGAGCTTAACCTTTAAAAGGAGAAAATTTGCTGATAGCTCCGAAGTCAATACCCGCTGCTTCTCACTTTTAATTACATACAATGCCAAGACCAAAGCCTTGGGAAATGCCCTCTGCACTGAATCCCATGGGTTGGCACCTCCAGACACTTTCTGGCTCTTCCCGGGAATAGGGAAATAATTTGCTCTCACTTCTGGAGTACTGTCCAGATCTGGTACCT